ACAGGCCCGCAGAACCGCGGGGCCCGGTTCTGAACCACCCAGGGACATGTGTGTGTACCTGTGGACAGTTGTTATCATGACCCGCTCACCCAGAACCGGGCTCCGGAACCAGGCCCATTAATCCGACCCAGCACCGCCCTGGTTCCCCACAGGCCTGCAGAACCGCGGGGCCCGGTTCTGAACCACCCAGGGACATGTGTGTGGACCTGTGGACAGTTGTTATCATGACCCGCTCACCCAGAACCGGGCTCCAGAACCAGGCCCATTAATCCGACCCAGCACCGCCCTGGTTCCCCACAGGCCTCCAGAACCGCGGGGCCCGGTTCTGAACCACCCAGGGACATGTGTGTGGACCTGGGGACAGTTGTTATCATGACCCGCTCACCCAGAACCAGGCTCCGGAACCAGGCCCATTAATCCGACCCAGCACTGCCCTGGTTCCCCACAGGCCCGCAGAACCGCGGGGCCCGGTTCTGAACCATCCAGGGACATGTGTGTGTACCTGTGGACAGTTGTTATCATGACCCGCTCACCCAGAACCGGGCTCCAGAACCAGGCCCATTAATCCGACCCAGCACTGCCCTGGTTCCCCACAGGCCTCCAGAACCGCGGGGCCCGGTTCTGAACCATCCAGGGACATGTGTGTGTACCTGTGGACAGTTGTTATCATGACCCGCTCACCCAGAACCAGGCTCCGGAACCAGGCCCATTAATCCGACCCAGCACTGCCCTGGTTCCCCACAGGCCCGCAGAACCGCGGGGCCCGGTTCTGAACCATCCAGGGACATGTGTGTGGACCTGGGGACAGTTGTTATCATGACCCGCTCACCCAGAACCAGGCTCCGGAACCAGGCCCATTAATCCGACCCAGCACTGCCCTGGTTCCCCACAGGCCTGCAGAACCGCGGGGCCCGGTTCTGAACCACCCAGGGACATGTGTGGGGACCTGGGGACAGTTGTTTGCATGGCCCGCTCACCCAGAACCGGGCTCCGGAACCAGGCCCACAATCCGACCCAGCACTGCCCTGGTTCCCCACAGGCCTGCAGAACCGCGGGGCCTGGTTCTGAACCATCCAGGGACATGTGTGGGGACCTGGGGACAGTTGTTTGCATGGCCCGCTCACCCAGAACCAGGCTCCGGAACCAGGCCCATTAATCCGACCCAGCACCGCCCTGGTTCCCCACAGGCCTCCAGAACCCTGGGCCCGGTTCTGAACCACCCAGGGACATGTGTGGGGACCTGGGGACAGTTGTTATCATGGCCTGGGTCCAGAACCAAGTACCGGGCCCATGGAGCTCCAATCTCGGGGTGACCTGGAGCAGTTTAAATAGGAAATATATACAATATTAATTGGACAGAGGTATGCATCACTGGGTGCCGACAATTGGCACCGGATGGGTCCAGAACCAGGGGCCCGTGGACCGGGGTCCGGAACCAGGCTCCGGAACCAGGGACCGGGCCCATGGAGCTCCAATCCCGGTGACCTGGAGCAGTTTAAATAGGAAATATATACAATGTATTAATTGGACAGAGGTATGCATCACTGGGTGCCGACAATTGGCACGGCATGGGTCCGGAACCAGGGGCCCGGTCCGGAACCAGGCTCCGGAACCAGGGACCGGGCCCATGGAGCTCCTGTCCCCAGAGAAAGAGCACCAAGGGCCCACCGCAGGACCAGGTACCGGGCCCATGGAGCTCCAATCTCGGGGTGACCTGGAGCAGTTTAAATAGGAAATATATACAATATTAATTGGACAGAGGTATGCATCACTGGGTGCCGACAATTGGCACGGGATGGGTCCGGAACCAGGGACAGGGCCCATGGAGCTCCTCTCCCCAGAGACAGAGCACCAAGGGCCCGCCGCAGGACCATGGACAGGGCCCGTGGGCTTAGATCTCAGAGACCCGGAGCAGTTTAAATAGGAAATGTATACAATGTATTAATTGGACAGAGGTATGCATCACTGGGTGCCGACAATTGGCACGGCATGGGTCCAGAACCAGAGACCCGGTCCGGAACCAGGCTCCGGAACCAGGGACCGGGCCCACGGAGCTCCTCTCCCCAGAGAAGAAGCACCAAGGGCCCGCTGCAGGACCATGAACAGGGCCCATGGATCACCAAGGGCCCAGCACAAACCCATGGACCGGGCCCATGGTCCAGAACCAGGGACCGGGCCCATGGAGATCCATGCTGGGGACACAGGTGTTCATTAAACGGACAGAGGGCCGCACGGCACTTGACCTTTGACCCCTGGGGAAAGCCGCACAGGGCCCGTGGGCTTAGATCTCCGAGACCCGGAGCAGTTTAAATAGGAAATATATGCAATATATTAAGTGGACAGAAGTTCGCATCACTGGGTGCCGACAATTGGCAGGGCATGGGTCCAGAACCCATTTTTTAGTTAACCCGCTTTCAACTTGCACTTTTAAATAGCAAAGATTGAAAAACCCAGCATCCGCCGCACCTCCAGAACCAGCCGAGCGAGTGGAGCGCCTCTCCCCGGAGAAGGAGCACTCTGGGCCCGCACCGACCCCCGCGGAACAGCCCCTGGTCCTCCAGAGCCCACCCAGTGTCCAGCACAACACCCCTTTGGCCCGCCTTAGCCCACACTGGCGCTCAAAAGCCCAAAAAACAAAAGCGGTGAGCCCCTGAGTCCGAGCGGTGACCCCTTTGTCCGACCCCAGCCCTCGCCAAACGCTCCCATAACGCCGCAAAAATACTTTTTACAGACATATGGCACCGTCTTCCACCCTATTGGCCCACCCAAACTCACTGTTTGGCATTTAAAGGGTTAAAAAATCAAAAACCGCCAGCATTTAAAGGGTTAATAACAAAATCCGCACTAAATTCCCGGTTCGGGCACACTTTTGGCTAAAGGAAAACCAAAGGGCTTGACTGCCATCTAGTGTGTCTGCTCCGTATTGCAGATCCGGCCCCGTGGCCCGCTTGACCCCCACCTGGCACTCTTTGAGAACTACCCGGATGGCAAAGCGGACCTTCCTGCCAACTCGGACGCCAGCGGGCCACAAGGAAAGAGAAAAAAAGGGACAAAAAGGACCTGATTTTCCTGGCCCCTAACCCCCCATAGGGGAAGAGTGAAGTTTTCAGACACCCGGGCGCATTTTTGAGAGTTTTTTGAAAATTTCCTGGGGCCAAACCGGAGGCCCCAGGGTCCGGGGACCTGGCCCTAAAAATAGAGCAAGGCCTGGTGACCCTTATGCCCGGGTCACCCGATTTTTCACGCCCACCCTGAGCCCGGGGCGGACCACCAAAGTGGGCAAAGTCTGACAAAAAACTTAGTTTTTTTGCAAGTTAGAGTGCTGTTCCCGAAACGACCACCAGATGTCTCCAGAAACAATGTGGACAGCTCGGTAGTTCTTTGCATGGGGACATTTTGTCGCACAATTAATGGGACATTTCCTAGGCCCCGGGAACTCGGGTCGAGATGAGGCATTTGGGGGCGGGACATTAGGTTGCACCGGGACCGAGACATGGCTGGGCATAATTGAATTGGTCCTCCCGTATTACTTTTCAATGGGGCAGAAGTCGGCATTCTACCTTACCAGGGGCCCAGACATAAATAGGCACTTCGCCGTTGACACCGGGAAGCACCGGAGCATCTCACATGGCTGGGCACAATTGAATTGGTCATCCCCTATTACTTTTCAATGGGAAAAAAGTCGGCATCCGCTTTACCAGGGGCCCAGACATAAATAGGCAATTCGCCGTTGACACAGGGGCGCATCGGAGCATCTGACATGGCTGGGCACAATTGAATTGGTCATCCCCTATTACTTTTCAATGGGAAAAAAGTCGGCATCCGCTTTACCAGGGGCCCAGACATAAATAGACAATTCGCCGTTGACACAGGGGCGTTACCGAGCATCGGACATGGCTGGGCACGATAGAACGAGCCAAAATGTATTACTTTTGAATGGGAAAATAGTCGGCATCAACGCAAATTGGGTTTTTTTTTCAAAGTTTCACCACCTTACCTGGTTCACAGCGACCCGACAGCAACAAAGGATAAACACCTGGTCATATTGAAGCACTGGGACACAAGGCAGCACGTTAAAGCGCATTTCTTTTAAATTTTAACCATTTTTGATTTTTCCCTCAAAGTTTTAACACCTTACCAGGGGCAAAGCCTCCCACATGCATTACCCCAGGGACAGAGGGGTTCATTAAACCATAGGGACATAATGTCCAGAGTATAAGTAATGGAGGAAGCATCTCTTAACCAATAAATATATTTATTAAAAATTAAAAAAAGTTAAATATTGAGTTCCCGGGGCCCATGGAGCGCCCTGGTCCGGTGCCCCCTGTATGGATGGAGCCTGGATGGATGGGGCCCCTTGGATGGATGCTGACCCCTGGATGGATGCGGCCCCTTGGATGGATGCTGACCCCTGGATGGATGCGGCCCCTTGGATGGATGCTGACCCCTGGATGGATGCGGCCCCTTGGATGGATGCTGACCCCTGGATGGATGCGGCCCCTTGGATGGATGCTGACCCCTGGATGGATGGTCACCCCTGGATGGTGACGCCTGGATGGAGGTCCTGCTTGAGTTTCTGAAATATAAAAACAATACATTTATTAGATGGGAATCATCACACTTAATGCTCATAACATAACACGGTTGTCCCGCTGCAGGGGCCCGGTACCACAACACAGCGGCCCGCTTTAATTCTACCAGGCCCCGCGGTCACAGCAGAACCCGGTACCATAACACAGCGGCCCGCTTTAATTAAAACGTTCAATATTAACTGGACAAAAGTGTGGATCCGCATCGGAAAAAGCTTTAAGCATTAAAACGTTCAATATTAGACGGACAAAAGTGTGGATCCGCATCGGAGAAAGCTTTAAGCATTAAAACGTTCAATATTAGACGGACAAAAGTGTGGATGCACATCGGAGAAAGCTTTAAGCATTAAAACAGACCATATTAGCTCCGCTTTAATTCTTCCAGGCCCCGCGATCACAGCAGCAGAACCCCGGTAGCATAACACAAAGAGCTCTCGGAGCTAAGCTAAACAGCCGGCTGCATGCTACCCCGCAGCAAAGAGCCTTGGGCCCGCTGAATACACCGCAGTCACCCGCACACGGTCCGGTAGATGAGCTACCTGGTTAGCCGCTTTGATCCATCCAGAGCTCCGGGAGATCGCCTCCATCCTTAGCCGCTTTGATCCATCCAAAGCTCCGGGAGATCGCCTCCCTCCTTAGCCGCTTTGATCCATCCAAAGCTCCGGGAGATCGCCTCCCTCCTTAGCCGCTTTGATCCATCCAGAGCTCCGGGAGATCGCCTCCCTCCTTAGCCGCTTTGATCCGTCCAAAGCTCCGGTAGATCGCCTCCCTCCTTAGCCGCTTTGATCCATCCAGAGCTCCGGGAGATCGCCTCCCTCCTTAGCCGCTTTGATCCGTTCAAAGCTCCGGTAGCTGAGCTACCTGGTTAGCCGCTTCCAGACTCAGGCGACCGATGATGATGTCATCTCTGGCGCCGGGAAGGCTGGTAAACAAGCGAGCTGCTGGCGGAGCTCAGTTCATCTCTCAGCGAGCCTGCAAACTGATTTTAGCAGGGCCGGTCAACCATATACAAGGCCCGGGCCCAGGGGGGCCCACAAGCGGGCCCCCCCGTTCCCCACAGGCCTCCAGAACCGCGGGGACCGGTTCTGAACCACCCGGGGACATGTGTGGGGACCTGGGGACTGTTGTAAGCATGACCCGCTCACCCAGAACCGGGCTCCAGAACCAGGCCCATTAATCCGACCCAGCACCGCCCTGGTTCCCCACAGGCCTCCAGAACCGCGGGGCTTGGTTCTGAACCATCCAGGGACATGTGTGTGGACCTGGGGACTGTTGTAAGCATGACCTGGGTCCAGAACCAGGCTCCAGAACCAGGCCCATTAATCCGACCCAGCACCGCCCTGGTTCCCCACAGGCCTGCAGAACCCTGGGCCCGGTTCTGAACCACCCAGGGACATGTGTGTGGACCTGTGGACAGTTGTTATCATGACCCGCTCACCCAGAACCAGGCTCCAGAACCAGGCCCATTAATCCGACCCAGCACTGCCCTGGTTCCCCACAGGCCTGCAGAACCCTGGGCCCGGTTCTGAACCACCCAGGGACATGTGTGTGGACCTGTGGACAGTTGTTTGCATGACCCGCTCACCCAGAACCAGGCTCCGGAACCAGGCCCATTAATCCGACCCAGCACCGCCCTGGTTCCCCACAGGCCTCCAGAACCCTGGGCCCGGTTCTGAACCACCCAGGGACATGTGTGTGTACCTGTGGACAGTTGTTATCATGACCCGCTCACCCAGAACCGGGCTCCAGAACCAGGCCCATTAATCCGACCCAGCACTGCCCTGGTTCCCCACAGGCCCGCAGAACCGCGGGGCCCGGTTCTGAACCATCCAGGGACATGTGTGTGTACCTGTGGACAGTTGTTATCATGACCCGCTCACCCAGAACCGGGCTCCGGAACCAGGCCCATTAATCCGACCCAGCACTGCCCTGGTTCCCCACAGGCCCGCAGAACCGCGGGGCCCGGTTCTGAACCATCCAGGGACATGTGTGTGTACCTGTGGACAGTTGTTATCATGACCCGCTCACCCAGAACCGGGCTCCAGAACCAGGCCCATTAATCCGACCCAGCACCGCCCTGGTTCCCCACAGGCCTCCAGAACCGCGGGGCCCGGTTCTGAACCACCCAGGGACATGTGTGGGGACCTGGGGACAGTTGTTTGCATGGCCCGCTCACCCAGAACCAAGTACCGGGCCCATGGAGGCCCACAATCCGACCCAGCACTGCCCTGGTTCCCCACAGGCCTGCAGAACCGCGGGGCCCGGTTCTGAACCACCCAGGGACATGTGTGGGGACCTGGGGACAGTTGTTTGCATGGCCCGCTCACCCAGAACCAGGCTCCGGAACCAGGCCCATTAATCCGACCCAGCACTGCCCTGGTTCCCCACAGGCCTGCAGAACCGATGGAGCTCCAATCTCGGGGTGACCTGGAGCAGTTTAAATAGGAAATATATACAATATTAATTGGACAGAGGTATGCATCACTGGGTGCCGACAATTGGCACGGCATGGGTCCGGAACCAGGGACCGGGCCCATGGAGCTCCTCTCCCCAGAGACAGAGCACCAAGGGCCCACCGCAGGACCATGGACCGGGCCCATGGAGCTCCAATCTCAGTGACCTGGAGCAGTTTAAATAGGAAATGTATACAATGTATTAATTGGACAGAGGTATGCATCACTGGGTGCCGACAATTGGCACGGCATGGGTCCAGAACCAGAGACCCGGTCCGGAACCAGGCTCCGGAACCAGGGACCGGGCCCACGGAGCTCCTCTCCCCAGAGAAGAAGCACCAAGGGCCCGCTGCAGGACCATGAACAGGGCCCATGGATCACCAAGGGCCCAGCACAAACCCATGGACCGGGCCCATGGTCCAGAACCAGGGACCGGGCCCATGGAGATCCATGCTGGGGACACAGGTGTTCATTAAACGGACAGAGGGCCGCACGGCACTTGACCTTTGACCCCTGGGGAAAGCCGCACAGGGCCCGTGGGCTTAGATCTCCGAGACCCGGAGCAGTTTAAATAGGAAATATATGCAATATATTAAGTGGACAGAAGTTCGCATCACTGGGTGCCGACAATTGGCAGGGCATGGGTCCAGAACCCATTTTTTAGTTAACCCGCTTTCAACTTGCACTTTTAAATAGCAAAGATTGAAAAACCCAGCATCCGCCGCACCTCCAGAACCAGCCGAGCGAGTGGAGCGCCTCTCCCCGGACAAGGAGCACTCTGGGCCCGCACCGACCCCCGCGGAACAGCCCCTGGTCCTCCAGAGCCCACCCAGTGTCCAGCACAACACCCCTTTGGCCCGCCTTAGCCCACACTGGCGCTCAAAAGCCCAAAAAACAAAAGCGGTGAGCCCCTGAGTCCGAGCGGTGACCCCTTTGTCCGACCCCAGCCCTCGCCAAACGCTCCCATAACGCCGCAAAAATACTTTTTACAGACATATGGCACCGTCTTCCACCCTATTGGCCCACCCAAACTCACTGTTTGGCATTTAAAGGGTTAAAAAATCAAAAACCGCCAGCATTTAAAGGGTTAATAACAAAATCCGCACTAAATTCCCGGTTCGGGCACACTTTTGGCTAAAGGAAAACCAAAGGGCTTGACTGCCATCTAGTGTGTCTGCTCCGTATTGCAGATCCGGCCCCGTGGCCCGCTTGACCCCCACCTGGCACTCTTTGAGAACTACCCGGATGGCAAAGCGGACCTTCCTGCCAACTCGGACGCCAGCGGGCAACTTGGCAAGAGAAAAAAAGGGACAAAAAGGACCTGATTTTCCTGGCCCCTAACCCTAACCCTAACCCTAACCCTAATTATGTAACCCTTTTATTTTAAGTTTCAACTTGTGGAGTGCATTGTAACCGACGCTTACCAGTTGAGACAGCAAGTAGCCTGATGAAGGTTGATTCTGACCGAAACGTCGCTTTTACTTGCTGTAACTGTCTCTTCTCAGTTTATTAAAGTGCCTAACGGCATAAAAAGAAGTCTAGTTTCCTGCACTCCTTATTTTACTTTTTTTTCTTTGTTGGAAAACAATTTTTCCAGTCAGTTTTTCTGGGTTTTTCCACTTTTTATTTTTTAAAAATCTCCGGAGTAATACCACCGCCCGCCACCAGATGGAGTGGTTCTCTGAACCAGAGGACGGATGGACCACGGTGAGCTACCACCGAGGAAGAAGGCGTGACCGGGGCCCAGTGGACCGGAACCACGGTGGGTTCAGGGCCTACCAACAGGACCGAGATCCGCCGCCCCAGCACTGGAGGCCCAGCTACGCCTCCGTCACCCGTGGGTATCCCCGCAGCCATAGCCGGGGCTCCGGCTACCGTAGAGGCCCACGCAGCCGCAGCGGGGGCTCTGGTTACCATGGTTACCGCCGAAGCCAGTCCAGGTATCCACAACGTCACTTCCAGCAGGACTCGGGTTACCATGGCTACCGCCGACGCTCTTCCGGATATCCACAACGTCACTTCCACCAACAACAACGGCCTCGGAGCCGAGATTGGAACGGACCTGCACAGAATCAGCACAATCAGAGGTATGGATCAAGCTATCAGAACTTTAATAGAAACCAGCAGAATCAGAACAATAACTATCAGCAGTCTGACGATCCACGGTTTAAGGACAAAGTCAGAGCTTTACATAAACTGCTTAAAGCGACACACCACCTTAAGAACGTGTCGCAAGATGAACGTAAGCCACCGGCTATCGTACGTACCACTGATAGCTTAGCATCCACCATTAAGCCGGCCTTCCCTAGCAGAAGAACTATGGACCTGATAGAAGGCAATGCTATGAACTGGGCTCTTAATACCATGCTGATTTTAAGGCAACATTATGAAGAGGTGCGCATTTCTGAGAGGAACAGACTGAGACGGCTGGGAGGGGACATGCTAGCTCCACTGGAGGTAGCCATTAAGTGGGCACAGAGGAATTTGGGCCGCAGATTCGATCCAAACACAGCTGATGAAGTCCAACTCTTCCTGGCCACTGAGGACTCAGTGAGGGGCCCTCCATCACCATCATCTTCATCCTCGGGCTCATCTGGGTCGATCTCACCTACCCCCCCTCGTCCATCAACCCGCCCCCCCACCCCTCCCTCCCCTCCCTCCCCTTCCCTGTCCCCTGCAAGCCAAACAGGGCGACAGGATCAGGCTGTGGGGACTACTGATGAGGAACCTGAAGAAGCTGATCAGACTCCTCCACCAACTCCAGCTCCTGCTCCAACCCCAGCTCCAGCAGCTACAGCCAGGGGCCCCTCTTCTCCATCTTCCGGCCCTGTCATGGCCACAGCAGCTACCATGACAGATCCTCCTCGTACCGGCTGGACACCTCCAGCTTCTGATGATGGGGACGACGCAGCGGACATCACTCCACCTCCACCACCGACTGATGACATCACCACATCTCTTCCTCCAAGACAGCAGAGGACCTCCAGAGCTTCCGGGATCGTCACCTCTGCTGCAACTGGAACATCGCAGACGACTTCTCCTCACTCTTCTCAGCAGCCTCTCCAACCTGAGAGGGCAGCAGCTCCTGCCATGGGGGACGACTTCAGCCTAGAGGACCTCATCGAAGCAGAGATCAACAGTCAGCGGGAAGCAGCAGCAGCAGCCTCCCCTCTGTCACAGGCCTCCAACTCATCCCAGGTCAGCCGGCGGGCCCCACTGAGG